AAGGTGTTGATGGCACAGATACAAATCCATTATCTGAGGCTATGATAAAATCCTTAAGGACTTTCACCAGAGCTGTTTCAATGCTATAATTTTGATTGAAACTCTTCAAAAAGTTAATTATGGTGTAAGTGAACCAGAGGTGTCAAGTAATCAAGTACAAATACTTCATTACTGTACTTAAGTACACTTTTTAGGTATCTATACTTTACTCTATTACTTATTTTTTTTCCTACTTCTGACTTCTACTTATTACATTTTCATACAAGTAACTGTACTTTCTATTCCTTACATTTTTAAAACAAACTCACTTGTTACGCTTCGGTTTAATGTTTATAAATATTTATTTCACATCATGTGCGCCATCCAATGCAGATCTTTGGCGCCATCCACATCTAGTGAAAACTAGTGTAATTGGATGAGTCATATAACGCAAACACTCATTGTTAGCTAAAGGAAATCTTTAGAAGCAAGTAGGTGTTCTTCAAACTGCAAACACGAATTGTCTCTGCCATGCTACAATGTTGGATTCAGAAAAAGATGTCGAAATGTCTGAAAGGTCGGACACAGGCGAGAGCGTATCGGGAGATGAAGACGGGGACCAACAAGACCTCCCTCATCCTTGGCGCTATCTCAAAGAAATTTTAGAAATAGTCAAAAAATTGAGCTTTCAATTCATATTGTGCCATCTGGCTTTTTTTTTTTCAAAGTTTTCTTTATACTTTTAGTAGTTTTTGGAGCAAATACTTTTTTACTTTTACTAAAAAAAAAAGAGGTGAAGCTGATACTTCAACTTTTACCAGAATGTTTTAAACTGCAGTATCTATACTTCTACTTAAGTAACAATTGTGTGTACTTTTGACACCACTGAAGTGAACACACTCTTGTTTGGAAACTACTTTCTCAAGAATTTAAGAAGAAAGGAAGATTGGATATAGGTCTATAATTGACCAACTCATCTGGTTCAATCAATGGTTTCTTTAAGTTTTAATTACAGCAACTTTAAAAGCCTTTTGTACATATCCCTGGCTTAGACAAGGATAATAGTTTTGCTAACTCGGAAGTTTAACTGGATCAAAGCAGTCTAAACCCAGTTCAGATTTTTTGGTTACCTGTATTTAAGAAAAAATCTATTAAATAGGATAAATATGCTGCTCTTTCTTTCCGCCTGGGTGAAAATCACATGTGGGGATGTTTGAGAAGGGTCATGAAAGATGGTCAAAGTTGTGGATGATTTGACAATAAGGTGGAGTTTCAGATGCAGAGCTACATTGGGTAAGATAAAAGCATATTTAACTGGGAGTTGTTGTTTTTTTTTATTTCAACTGGTGCTTTCTCACTGTTCACTTTCCTGAGAGATTGTGCTTTATGTCCTGAATATAGATTCATATAGCAAGAGGTAGCTGTTTAAGCTGTATTTAATAGGCCTGTGAAAGTCTTGAACCTAAATCCAACACACATAAAAAAATGCTTTCCATCAGAACTGACTGAGGTTTTTGATATATATTTTTTTTTCATAATTTACTCATAACTTCCTTATAAAATACATAAAAGTTTATGGCATGTTAAATTGTGGAAAAAGCTTAAGGGCTATAAAGGCTTTTAAAATGTAGCTTTATTGAATACATGAGCAACATTTGAGATACAAGGACATTTATTTTATTAGTATTTCTGGCTGAAGTTCAAGATCAATATGGAACTCTTCCTTTCCAGATGTAGCCTATTTCATTGTTTCCTCTGTCTTACCAGGGTCCCTTCCTCTCACTGCTAATTTAGCCCTTTTTGTTATAGGTTTTACCTTGTATTTCAAGTACTTTTGTTAGGGCATAGAAATTAATATTTATTTAATCATGAATTCAGCATGCTTTCCCGCAGAAATTTTAAGTCAGCATCAAAAATTTACCTCAAGATGAAAAAAATATCTATATTGATATATGTGTGTTTTTTGATAGAAGTTTTTTTTTGTTTAAAATTTGCGTTAAACTAAAAAATTTAACCTTCAAGCTACAACTACTTTAGCTGCATAAAGTGACTGGGATCCTAAGATGATTGCAAGAGAAAATTAGGAATGTTTAATCTCAAAAGCAAGTTATAACAAAGCTTAAGGGGTAGATTTAAAGGGAATATGAGTAAACTGATCCCTTCGGGGATAATTTCACAAGTATTTTAAACTATGGGTCATAAACATAAGAAAAGAAATGTAGTAAGCAGCAAGGCATTTTCTAATGAAACCCAAAGACAGCCTATTACATTCTAACTCTTAAGATCAAACCTCTACATTTCCATCATTTTGAATCTGCAGAATAAAAGTGGTGGAATGCAAGTGCTGAGTAGTGAATACATATCAAAAAGCAGATTTTTGTCTAGCCATTTGGGCAATGAGAAGCAGGTGGAGTTGAAGAGGAAGGTTGAAGAGGTGTGTGCACACACATACACCGATATTCACACACACATGCTTTGTTCCCTGGATAGACCATGGAGCTGTCAGAACCACTCTGATTTTGAATTAACTTTGATTGGCTGTCATTGCACTGCACTCTACACAGCTGAGACCACTCAAATAGCACACATACACACAGGATCATATATGCACACAAACACATACACTTTTATGGTCTGGGCATCACGTTACACTAAACTGTTGAGTTCTCTAGGATGAACCCAAGGCTGTATTATTATGTTCTATCTATTTGTTTTTCCTTTTCTAAACCTATTATTATTATATGATAAATAACAGGAGATGTTTAAAGAGTGTTTCAATAAACATGTTACATTTAAAATTTGTTTCTGTATTTAATCGTAGAATGTCCTTTTCCCTGCACTATTTTTGTTAATTCTCTAACTAAAAAAACTGATGAGATGGATCCAGCCATCTTTGCTCCTCTTTGAAATACAGTCAATAAGCAAAGCAGATAACTCTTTAGCTGCATAATTTTTGCTGAAAATGTTCTTAGGGGTGATTTTTTTCATACGTACAACAAAGATGAACTTGGCTTTTTGTTAATATTTATTCAAATTGAAAAACAGACAATAGGGACATGGAAACTATTGCTCTGGCTTTATGATTCAGATGAATTTACTTTTTTCTTTGTTTTGTTTTATACAAAGTGTTTTTTTTTTTTTATGGAATAAGCAGGATCTCGTTTTGTAATAGGTCAGCAATACATTACTACCATCTAGTGGTCACAAATGACTTAGACAAACTTCATTGTCATTTTGTATATACAAAGTGTACAGCTTATCAACAATGAAAGAGCAGCAGCTTAACAGTGAAAATGAACATTTCCATTTATAAAGTGCGCCAGTCATCAAAGTGATGTGGAAGGTGCAGAGCACTGCAAAAACAAAAAATAGGTATGGTGCTAAATGCAGTAGAAACACTGAGTTGAGTTCTATTTTGGAGATTCACCATGGAAAAAGGCACACATAATTTAATGCGGCCTACTTTAATTGAAAATAAAGTATAAAAAGTAAGTTGTGTTCCCATTTCTCTCCAAATTATATTTACTTCTTTTGGAAGTTTATGCCTCTTAGTCAACAATTTAAAAGCTACCAAAAGTGTCTTATTGTTTCTTTGTCAATACTGACAGCTAGGATGTTACATATATAATGGGCACTTCTTAAGGGTACCATCAGGCTGGAGCCAGTGCAGATGAAAATGATCCTATGCTGTAAGTAACTGTGCTCATGTTAATTCACTTAAAAACTTTTTATAAACTCTATACTATTGTGTACAAACGGGATAACTACAGTAAATGTAGTTTGTTGC